TATCCGTCAGTGGATCCATAAGAACGTGTTCAACTGCGGCTCTAGAGTCGCTCCTGGGATCGATTCCTCTCCATATTTTTATCCAGGAAACAGTAACGAGGGAGCTGTAACTTCGACTATCTAACGACGGCTTCTTCGCAAAGAAGCTTCGTGCAGGTATTCTTGGAAAGGTACCAGGGTTGGAAATATGCGGAATATCTGATTCCATGACTAAAGAGGTCTTCTTTGGCAGAAAATTCCAAGTGATAATCCCCGATGATTGGGCAAATGGGCTCCCTGCACTTGATCTCCGATACGTACACTGGTACACAGACGGTGCTGAATGCACCGACTCTTTGTTTGATGACAGGAGATACTTCGTCTTGTCATCGTTAACCACCAGACCCATTCGCTTTGCTTCCTCATCCAACAGAGGCTGGTGCGTATTTTGGCTGCAACAAGATAGTGGGCCGAGTCAATGTTTGGGCCTCAGAGTGTACGTACGTCTAAAACACTGGAAGCTTGCCTTCCGACTATTTATCAAAACATGATCGATTTGGTTTCTCGTATTTCGATATATTTGGATATTTTTGTGGGTGACCCTTGCACTGCATATTACCATGTTTCGGGCTCCGGCGAATTCGATAAGCCTCAGTCCGTTATCGGATGTTTCGTCATGGAGGCTGAATTTTCCGACGGTGGTTCCAAAGATCTTTTCCTTGCCCACCCTGGCATTGGAAGTTGCCAAGCACGATTTTAATATCATGACGGAGTTAGCGCTGTTATGTGCGCTCCAAGTGCTAAAGAAGCTAACCTTGGACTCGTCTTTCTCTTCCCTCGGGTCGTGGGCGCAAATTTGTGAGATGTTGAAGAATCTTGCTTTGATGCGGATTGTGGCTAGGCGCACGTCCACCGGGATGAACGACAGTACTCGACGACGAAGTCTCCTTCCCATCACAAATCCAACACGCAATTTGCGCTCCTTTACTTGGCACGTGTTTCTTTCCTTGCACCGTCCATCGTAATTCTTGGACGGCTTTTGTCCCTACGTGGACATCAACCAGCCGGGCAGAGGTATGTTTCCCATTAAGGGTCCGGACATTCTAGGTGCATACTCTTAAATCGTAGTCTTTAAACGTGCGCCATGGTCGTCATCAAAAGCGGGGGTCGCATCCGAGGCTTTTTGAAATTTCTTGACTGGAAGGGGGGTTTTACGGGGCGGGTCCCAAACCCAGCGCACAATCTATCGCTGAGAATAAGGGAACTCGCCACTCATATACTTGCCACGACACATCTCTCCTAAGCTCACTTCACCTGAACTCATTGCATCCCTCACTTGAACTCATTACATGAAATGAGATCACATTACATGACATACCAGTACATTTGACATCGCATGACATGACATCACATGACAAAACATCACTTTATATGACATCACATGAGATAACATCACTTGATATGACATCATATGGCATTAACATCACAAGGTTAATTTACACACTTTACTTTTATAAGGACACAGAAGATGGTGAATATGTATACGAATAAAAGATTACTTATAAACATACATATCGTCACCTTATTTCACAAAGGCCCTAGCCAACATTTTTTTTTTTTTTACAGGAGAAGCAAAAAACATTATAAAATGAGCAATACAGGTGGGGCTTTTTGAAAAGTGGCATGTAACTCCGTTGTTTTTGGTACAAACACTACACAATTTTTAATGAAGGTGTATTTTAATAAGTTCATCCTACAAGTTTCGAAAAGTGTTGGTTAGGGCCTTTGTGAATTAAGGTAACGATATGTACCTATACCAAAATTAAACTATTATATATTAATTGGCAATGTAATTCAATATGATTTAAAAATAATACAAAAAAACAATGAAATAACAACAAAAGAAAAAATGCTTGCCGTTGTATGGCTCTGTGCTGTATATTAATTATGAGACAACTTAGATATGTAACGCAAGTTTTAATAAGGCAATCCAGTTTTTGGATACTAATTGTTGCCGAAAGAAATTTTCCGTTCTGCCTTACTTCACCGTCTTCAATTACCAGGCACCAAAAGTAACGGTTATCTCGAATTTACAAATTGAAAGTGTTGCCCGAATTCTGAAATTTAAGGAGAACGCTGTTTCATAACTGAAATAGAGGTGAAATATTTTTTATTTTGCCGATAAGAGTTACAAACAACCTTTATTTTTTACGTTGTTTGATAAACGCTGTAGGGTAAGGATATTGATGAATATGGGGATGGAACAGAAGGTAAAGATAATGAAAACAAAAGTAGAAGAGTGAAACAACTCTTATCGGTAAAATATTCCCAAAGTTCTTGCAAAAATTTTAAATCAAATCATTCGATCCGATTTGTTTCATTTTTGTCACATTACGTTTGAAAAATTTGATATACTTTATTTATTTTGAATTGCTCCATGTCTTTCCGAATTATTTGTGAAAAAAAAACTAGAAACTTGTGTATCCTGGAAACTGTTAAACTGCAAAATTCAAATCTTATTTAGTGTAAACCTCCTCTTGTCCAACTTTGTAAAGCTGAAAAAGTGAAAAAGCAATTTGTTGTGTGCGGCTTATTCATGTTTGCGTGCGTGTGTTGTGTTGCATTGTTCGTGATTTTATTCTCCTTAAACCACTCGGCCTGTGTATATCAGCCCGTAATTGAATCGTTTTGAATTATTCGAGAGCATTGCGTTTTGAATAACGCAAATATTTGAACAGCTGTAAAAACTTACAAATTAACTAAACTTAAAATTTGAGAAATACTATTTATGTATACATATGTACATAAGCCAATAAAACTCATTCGCATAAAAATTAAGTGATTCCAAACATTTGTTGTGGCTCTGTTTTCTTAGAAATCTACGATAACATTTCTTGTGATGGCTTTTTCAACATGAATGCCATGCGTATTCAAACGACTTTTCCGCCAATTGGTACTTTTACTTTGGATTCGACTTTGGGTCCACCACCGGGGCAATCGCAGAATCAACAGTCGATTTCTCAACATCCACCACCGATTGGGATTTTCGATGCCAACGAAGTTCCAGAAGTTATTCAAAACCCGGCAACAATCGGTGTGTTCCAATCAAATAGCGTTCTGAACAATGGAGGTAGTGGTGGCGGTGGCAATAACTCATCGTCCATCTTCAGCTCACAATCGAGCTCTTCTTCAGCTGCCAATGATCCAAGTCAAGCAACTCGAGAGACTGGTATTATTGAGAAACTTTTGGTATGTTATATATTATATTTAGACAAAACTGAACAATGTATGTACGTGCATATATCGGCGACGAGCAAAACGTAAGACGGCTTTTAAGATTTTGTATAACAATGTATAGATTAGAACATAAGTTCAGCACAAATGCTCTCACTGATCGTCGCTGTCATATACATACCCATACATATGTACATACATACATAAATAGACAGTATGCGCTTTACGATTTATGTTTATAAACTGTATATTTTTNGTACGTGCATATATCGGCGACGAGCAAAACGTAAGACGGCTTTTAAGATTATCTAGAACAGTGCTCGTCAAACTTTTGAGTGTGACGGACCGGCTGCAGTTTTTCTATTACGTCGGGGACCGGTACCTTTTTTTATTGATTATTTTTCGTTTACGATCATCTCACATATGTATTAAAATTTGTTTAAATGAATTTCTTTATTAGCCGGGTGTCTATATATGACCTATTACCATTTAATGATAGCAGATATTAGCGATTTTTTATGAATGTTTAACAAATTTAAGTTGTTTTTATTATACAAGTTGTATATAGCCTCATTAAACAGTAATATAAAACATCAAAAAATCGTTGTCCATTTCGCGACGCCCTTTGCGGACCGGCGACTTATGGCTTACGGACCGGCACCGGTCCGCGGACCACCACTTTGACGAGCACTGATGTATAACAATATATAGATTAGAACATAAGTTCGCCACAAATGCTCTCACTGATCGTCGCTGTCATATACTTGTACACATACATATCTACATACATACATAAATAGACAGTATGCGCTTTACGATTTATGTTTATAAAACTGTATATTTTCAGCATTCTTATGGATTTATTCAGTGCTGTGAGCGTCAAGCACGTCTATTCTTTCATTTCTCGCAATTCAGTGGCAATATAGACCACTTAAAAATCGGTGATCCTGTCGAATTTGAAATGACCTATGATCGTCGGACTGGTAAACCAATAGCCAGTCAAGTTTCGAAGATAGCACCGGAAGTGGTATGTTATAATAAAATCATTCAACTGATAACATCAATTCAAATATCTATTCAAAATTCTAAGGTATTGTCAGAGGAACGTGTTACTGGCACCGTAACCACAGAACTACGCACTGATTGCGCTAACAATTTGCTCTCTTCGAGCGAGACTACCGGCCGCATCAGCTATGAAAATCGTGGCGAGTGTTTTTTCTTGCCATATACCAAAGACGATGTTGAAGGAAATGTCAATTTACGTGCCGGCGATAAAGTCAGCTTCCAAATTGCAACTAACCAAAGGTAAGTTTTTATTAGACATATAAGTCTATATGCATATAATTAATTATGAAATTTACAGAGGAAACCTTGGTGCTTGTCATATCCGTTTAGAGAATCCGGCACAGCCGGTAAAATACCGCGGTGTTGTATGCTCAATGAAGGAATCATTTGGATTTATTGAGCGTGCAGATGTAGTGAAAGAGATTTTTTTCCACTTTTCTGAAGCTGAGGGAAATGTTGAGTTGCGTCCTGGCGACGATGTCGAATTCACCATACAAACACGTAATGTGAGTAACATATCTGTACGTATGAATATTTTTTGTCAAATCGAATATTAAACATTTCTAATAAGACTGATAATTTATTAAGTACGGTATGCACGCCATTCTCCGAAACGTTGATTTAGCACTGGGGGAATAGAGTTTAAGGCCAATTCCCGTTCTATGACATTTTTATCACTACATATATTTTCCATACCATTTTAATCATTATTGTTCAGCTTAAAAAGGTGTTCGCACGAGGCGATTTTGCGTTCAACTTTTACGTTCAACTCTCGCAGGGCTGCACGAAAAAAGAGTTGAATGGCTAAATGTATTTTATTATTGTTAAAAAATACAACTAGATCCTATTTAATTGTTGTTAAAAAATACAACTAGATAACTAGACACTTCACCACTTCGTGAAACGAAATTTGTGTTATGATTGGCAAATTTTTTCCGCATGGATTTTTTATTTCGCTTTGAAGTGGTCCAAAAAATGATTTCTTTTATTATCGATCGGACATCTCTAATATCTACAAATACCAATTTGAATAAAGGTTACACTGAGGTATCGATATCAATTGCAGTTGGGGTAACGATAAAGACAGGAACATTTATTTTGGTAAACAAGGGGTACAGCTGGTTGTTTTGTATGGTCTATAAAGTTAATTTAACATGGCATTCAGTATTTGAAATCATGTTTTTGCTAGTAACGAATCGAAAGAAGTTTAATTTCCGTAGTTTGGCCCAGGCGCATTTTATTTTAATTTAATATCAAAATTTGTCTATTTGAGATCAGCCAAGCTAGCCTAACTTTATTAATATTGTGTATTTCCATTTGCAAGGGCCGTGAATTTGCTTGCAATATAACACGCTTAGCACCCGGTTCTGTTATTTTTGAGGACGTGGATACCACTATCTACAAAGGACAAGTTTTAAAGCCACTTGACCGCAATAATCCAGCTCGTCAAACCAATGATCCCTTGCCCGGTCGGATACGTTATCGTGCACCAGATTATTCCGAAGTTGAAGTACCGTTCGGCGATAAGGATCAAGTAGGAATATAAACCAACTTAAATCAAAGTTGTATAGTTCTCATAAGCTATTTTCTCTGCAGAAGGGAGATTTTACTTTGCGACATGGTGACTGGGTTCAGTTCTTACTTGCGACTGACAGACGCGATCAATTGCAGCGTGCTACTTCGATTTCTTTACTCGACGAAACCTTTAAAGTATCTGGTGAGAAGCGTGAACAAGGTGTAGTTGCTTCGCTTAAAGAAGGTTTTGGCTTCTTGCGTTGCGTTGAACGCAATTTACGTTTGTTTTTTCACTTTACGGAAGTGTTGGACACTGTAAGTAATAAAAAAATATAAAATACGGTAAAGTTTATATATTGGTATACACTGATTTTACTTACAGAGCCGGGAAATAGCTGTAAATGACGAAGTTGAATTTACTGTCGTCCAAGAACCCGGTGTTCCCTACAATACTTCTCGTTTACATGCCATTCGCATCAAGCACCTACCACCCAACACGGTGCAGTTTGAAATGTTAATGGCAAGTAACATTGAAGGTATTTTGAGAAATTATTTCGCAAGCTCCTTTCAGCAAAAGCTAATATTTTGTATGTTATTTTTTTTTTTAAGGCTCTGTTACACGCGAGGCTCCTAAAAGCCCAGTTAAGTCCCAAGATCGCGTTGAAGGCGGTGTGATCACTTATGATCACGGTGATGTCAAAAAGACTATAATGTATTTCCTTAAAGACTGCGAGAAACCACCAAGAATTGGAGATCGTGTACGATTCGATATCTACTTGGTGAGTATGTGATGTACGGAATTCCATAAGGGGCATTTTAAGTATTTATAAACTCTCATCATGTTTCGTTTACAACTGAATTTGTCAATGAATTCGGCAGTTATGTCACGTAGTTATCATTAATAATCAAAATTTGGCAGCATTTTCGATTTTTATTATAATTCTTTGTGTCCGTATAATTCATAAGAATAATTTATAAATAAATAAATACAAATAATGATGACACGTTATATACATAACTTTTTTTTGTTAAAAAATTGCGATCTTTCCCACAATATTTTAGTTTATGTTTGAATTCTACTATCATCTACAACCCCCTAGGTAAAACGAAACAAAGAGTTCATTGCTGTAAATGTACAGCTTATAGGGCAAATGCAACAGTTACACCAGCAACAGTTGCAACAACAACAACAACCACAACCACAACATATGTTAACCAATACAACGAACCAACTACAACAACATCAACATATGCATAACCAAAACAATGAGCAGATGCTATTGTCCAATGGTGTCGGGGTTGGCCTTGGTGTCGGCGTCGGTGTTGGTGTTGGCATGAGCGCTGGGGGTAATAGTGGTGGTATGTTGCTGCCACCGCAAAACGGATACTTACCAATGGCCAATTCCAATCAGCTGCTATCCACACCAAAGATTGAAGACTTCAAATTGGACAATAATAACTTGTCAATGAACGAACATGGCCAAACTTACCGAGGCTTTATTGCTGTCATCAAAGAAAATTTTGGATTTATTGAGACGCTTTCACATGATGAGGAAGTCTTTTTCCACTTTAGCAATTATGTTGGCAATCCAAACTGGTTGGAACTTGGCCAAGAGGTTGAGTACACCCTATCGCCGAATGGCAACACTTCCGTTTCGGGTAATTGCTTGCCCGCTGAAAATGTGCGCACTCTACCAAGAGGCTCTGTACCGCAACCAGCCGTCTTAGAGGGAATACACAATGGAGTAGTAGCACGCCCTTTACGTTGCATTAATCCCGATCAGCAGGAGTATGCCGGACTCATTGAAGTGTTGGATGAAACTAAACAGAGTGTTTTGTCGCAACACGAATTTGGAATTACCAGTTTGGTAAATAAGCGTGATTTACTCCAAAAAGGCGATTTGGTAACTTTCAAAATAGATGAAATCGGCCGTGCAGCTGAGATAAATGCCGTACGTCAAAAGAAGCGTGCAACTGTTGATTCGATTAAAGGCCAATTTGGATTTCTCAATTACGAAATCGAGGACGGCAAGAAGCTCTTCTTTCATATGTCCGAGGTTCAAGGAAATGCTGTCGCATTACACCCAGGCGACACAGTTGAATTCTCCGTGGTTACCAATCAGGTAATAAGTTGACCCCTCTGTCTATTTTATTTGTGCATGTACATATATAGTTATATATATATATAGTTTATGATACGGACGGAGAAGCATTTGAAAAGCACATGCGGTATTTTTTATTATTGTGAAGGTATTTTCATCGTCGGATTATATCAATGCAAAAGCCATTAGTTGTCTCCTAGATGCACTCTTATACCAAACTTCAAGACCATATCTTACGACAGTCGGGTCTACGTAACCGGAACGACCCAGATTTATATCTGGCCTAGGACTGTAACTCCAGCTACACTCCCCAAAAACTCTTTGGGGAATTTGAATGCTGTTACAATAACAACAACAACCATGTCTTAAAAAATTTGAGATTTATTAAAATCTTTAGAACAGGTCTACAAGCAAATCCTATGTAAATTTTAAAAGTGGGTTTCTGTATACTTTCAACTTTGTCAAATAGGACGTTTTGCCGATGTCGATCGATCTTCTTTTACAAATCGCAGAACATACATATGTACACATTGTTACTTTTAAAATTTGCATATGTATATACTGCTACGGTCAAAATAATAGAATCAAGATTCAAAATGATGCTTTGAAACTTTTATTTATGTGGTATCTGATGTAGGTCGACCCATATTTTAAATGAAAATTATTAACAATACATAAATAAAGATATGTTGCCAACAGCATCATTTTGGACCTTGATTCTATTATTTTGACCGTAACTGTACATACACCTTCCACCATACACATATGTAGACAAAAACGTATTGTATAAGACCACTTTAAGAAATTTAGGGATCAGTAGTAACACATACGTACGTGTCTATTAGACTAATTATTCTCATAAAGTTAAAGCGGCCTGCCAAAGATGTAAGACCCGTATTTTTTTTTTGTTCGGATATGTTTTGTGACACGATCACAATTAAATATTTGTTGCATTTATCTTTTCTTCTATCTGAAAGTATATTCTATTTTTTATGGAACGTGTTAGGAGATTTACATCATTTAAAGTCCTGCAAAATTTATTATATTGGTAATTTTTGCTCTTCTTTAGCGCAACGGTAAATCGTCAGCTTGCACTGTGCTAAAGATTAACGATCGTCCAGACCGTTTGATATCCCGCCTTAAGTTAAATGCAGACGATACTGTGCCACGTCTAATCATCACTCGAGCACCACGCGGACCACAAAGCAAAGGTTTCTTGCCACAGGCACGTATTGCACGCATTCCAGGTAAGTTTGCCGCAACAATTTAAGGGATTCTCTTCGTAAATATTCATTTGTACTCTTTTTCCATCAGGAATCACAATTGAATAAACAGCAGCATTGACAAAAACCGAACTCGAAAGCTCAACACTTCGTGGTGAAATATCCGCATTGACATATAAAATAAATGAATAAACAGAAATTGAGGGTGCAGGATAAGCGGGGGAAGAGACATGGATATTTTATTTAACACAACTTATAGTGTACTAAGGCAGTTGAATTGCAGTAAGTTAAAGAATTAGAAGCTAATGAAAAGAAAAGCGTAAAGCCTCATCTCTTCCTCAGAAATAAAATAAATATGACATATTTATTAATACGAATACAAAAATAACACACTACAAAATCTTAAATAAAGGAATACAGTAATAAAAAGAAAATCTTTACTGCTTGTGTTAAAGAAAAGAACTACATAAAAGCATTATGATAAGAAAACAAGATATTGCAGGCACGTATTAGGCACGATCGAAAACAGTTTCTGTTTTACTGTGGTCATTCAAACATCTTACNACTCTTTTTCCATCAGGAATCACAATTGAATAAACAGCAGCATTGACAAAAACCGAACTCGAAAGCTCAACACTTCGTGGTGAAATATCCGCATTGACATAAAATAAATGAATAAACAGAAATTGAGGGTGCATGATAAGCGGGGGAAGAGACATGGATATTTTATTTAACACAACTTATAGTGTACTAAGGCAGTTGAATTGCAGTAAGTTAAAGAATTAGAAGCTAATGAAAAGAAAAGCGTAAAGCCTCATCTCTTCCTCAGAAATAAAATAAATATGACATATTTATTAATACGAATACAAAAATAACACACTACAAAATCTTAAATAAAGGAATACAGTAATAAAAAGAAAATCTTTACTGCTTGTGTTAAAGAAAAGAACTACATAAAAGCATTATGATAAGAAAACAAGATATTGCAGGCACGTATCAGGCACGATGGAAACAGTTTCTGTTTTACTGTGGTCATTCAAACATTTTACGATATGCCAAAGTGCAAGCGGATTTCCAATTTAATATTATTTTTTTTTTTATTAATAATTGACATAAACATAATATGATGAGTATTCAAACACAAATTAAGTAAAAGAAGTAAAATGAAACTGCTGAGGTCAAAGGAGTAATAGTTGGAATGCAAACAAAAGCCACGGTAAAATTCAGGAATCTGTATTGCAAATCGGCACATACACTCGTAATTTAACCATTAGCAGAAAAAAAATTAAATTATTTATTGTCCATATGTAATCTTATGCTTGTATGTAATTAATTCATTGAAAGAAACCTTTTAATTTATTTATGTGTGCTGTATACACAAGCAAAGTGACTAAAATTTAAATCCTTCAATATGACAAAATTATAAGTTATGAACAAAGTATGCCCCACTTTTAGCTGGAAGTTTTTNTATGTAATTAATTCATTGAAAGAAACCTTTTAATTTATTTATGTGTGCTGTATTACACAAGCAAAGTGACTAAAATGTAAATCCTTCGATATGACAAAATTATAAGTTATGAACAAAGTATGCCCCACTTTTAGCTGGAAGTTTTAAAATGTGTAATATAAAACTATTACCCTAAATCTATCTGTGTTAAATCTTCGTATTTTGCTATTTAATACAAACTGATATCTCCCAGAATGTTTTTGACGTTCGTTAAATGTTACAATGCCAAATTACAATGATGAATTTCGTATACTGTTTTGACGCAACCAAAAATTCTTTATTCTGATATTTCTCTTTCTATCCTGGATTATTCACCATGATTAATACTATCTTGCGTTGCAGATCTTAGAACTATTTTTTTGTTTAGTTTCCATTCATTCAGCTATTACTAACTACATATATACATATACATACACGTACTACTACAAATGCTTATGGAAGAATATTATCTGTCTCACTTATTCATAATGCTATCGAAATGAAAATGCTATTATTACATATATTATAAACTATATTTTGAATCTTAAAATATTCCTTTATTATAATTTCTTCCTTTGAAAATCATGCAGATTAGCAATTGAGCGATGATATAAAACCAACACACAAAATTAAACAAAGTTTAGTATTTAGTTATTTAATTTAATTTATATTACAAAACAGTTATTGTAATAACGGTGATGAATTAAAAAATCGTTGCATTAAATCAAACAATAAATGCAAATTTTGAAGTGGCGAATTCAATTTGCTCCGTCAGTTTGCAATATACATATATTATATAAAAATTAACAGCTAAAAATGGCAACAAAAAAAAAACATTTAATTAAGTAAGAAATCCCCCAAATTAAGCAAGATACAAAAATATAAAACTAAATAATATAGAGTATTAAAAATATATAATGATAATCTTCATGAACATACAATGAATTTCAATTACATTCAAAATTGGGATCAGTCCTATAGCCATGTTAAAATTATAACAACTTACAGAACCAAAAATATACAAATAAAAACTTTGAGAAGGAATGAAATTATATATAATTGCTTGAATACCAATAAAAATCGTAACATCAAAAACATCACAAGAACAAACAGAACAAAACAAATAAAAAAAAACGCAAAACTGCAAAAGCAACAAAATACAAACTATATGAAATCAAATAAATAAACACATAATTCATTAAAACTAAATAAGTCGTAGCTTTTTGTTACACCTGATTGCATACACGTAGGAATTATGCATATGTGAAATGGTAAGGTGTAAGGTATGTATATTTTTGAAAATAATTTTATATTTCGTCAGTTAATGAATACACGCTTCCACGTTGAAAAAATAACTACATCGAATCACTTGATCATCACCAAAAAGGATCAGTCCAGCGCCTTCGTCTTGACCTGCAGGCTGTGTCGGAGGCACAGCCGCTATACTTAACTGTAGAGTACGTGATATTATTAATATCACATTCAAGTTAAAAAAGGTACATGAAATATTCATTTTGATTGTATTGAATTGAATTTAATAAATCAATATGAATTGCAGAATATTAATACTTAGCAATAGCTTATAAATCAGAGGTTCACAAACTTTTTTTCTCGTAGACCCCATTCAAAAGTTTACTGGTTTCAGTGGACCCCCTGCTGATACATTTCTAAATATTCCCAAAACTCGTAGAAAATTAAATGTGAAAAATAGATCTAGCAATGTAAATTTGCATCGCGAGTGAATTCAAAAACTAAACTCAGAGTGGCCAAAATAAAAGTAAAATATTTTCTTGTGTTCTATTTATAAAAACTAGTAATAATCCCCGAAAATCGGGGTGCTCGTGGTTTAAAAATCTGAATATTTCTTTATTCTAAAAACCACATGCATTGCTTTTGGTATTTAACTTTAACTTTGGTATTTTGCCAAGATCATACTCTACTCAATACGTATACAATTATTATTATTTTTATTGCGGACGCTACAATAATTTTGAATTGGCGACGTTTAAATACAAACGGAAGTGTTGATTCGCTGGACTATTAATTTATATGGGGTAGTGAAACTCGTTTCCCTTGTGAATCACATTTTTTAAGTCCATTAACTAACCCTTTATATGTATATACATACATATTAGCTCTGATCCAGTACTCCATGAACTTACAGGATTTTACACGAAGCTTTCAATTCACTATACCCGTCAGAGTAGACTTTAACCCGAACTAAACCTTCTACCGTCCAAGTACCGAACCACCCGGTACCACCGTCAAGTATTTCGTCGGGAGGCGGTTAAGCACTAGGCTCGCAGGTTCGTTCCAGTCGGTTGTACTCAGTCCTGGGCTACACCCACGATTGAGAGAATACAAAGGTTGCGCCGATCTCGGACCGCTATTCCTCTTAACGAATTTGACAGAATCGTTATTTGCATGACGTCACACTTGTGCAACTTGTTTACGTTTTCCTTGCAACATCATGGTGAAATAAAAACAAGGTGACATCAGTAAGCCGTTTTTGTACTATTTGTTGACCCTCATGCTCCGGTCATGTATTTGAGGTTAGTAGAACAGGGAATCTTTTGGTGCCCTTTACTACCTTTTTAGTGCTTTATTAAAATCGTAGTACTGGAGTGAAAATAAATCAGCAATTAATTATTATTTAATTAATGAAACAGTAGAACAATAATTATTAGACATTAGGGCGGCATGCGATATTGTCGAAAATCCGAAAAGAAAAAAGAAAATCTTGTCTATTATTTTTAAAATATTTCTTTTTAATTTGGTAAAGGATTAAACAACTTTTGGAATCAAACACGTTTTGGTGTTTGTTGATCCCTACTTATCCATTTCATATTCCCTCTTATCGGCTAAGAAATAATGCTTCAGGCGAGAATTGAAAGCTGAAATAGAACTTGATGAACAGGAGAGAAACATCATTTATCGCTGGATATTTTCAAGTTTTTTTAATGTTTTATGTACATATTTTTTAGTTTACATATTTATTAAATGCACATGTTTTTCGAATTTATAATGCATGGAAATGTAGTGATAATAAATAAATGTAACTTCAAATTTAATATTTTGAAACTCTAGAATTAATATAATATGTAGCTTTTTCGAAGCTAATTAATAGTCTTTACAAACACTTATTTCGTATACTATGAATAGCTGAGTTCCATAGCACTAGCTGACTATATAATATAATAGAAAATAATTTAATTGACCCTGCTAGTTTACATGTTATGTTTTAGAGAATTTTGGAGTCATAAATATTTCGGAACTTGAAAACGAGTTACACCTGCACTTGGCCATGTCGTATGTCACAAAGCACAAGGTACTCTTGACATATTCTATTAACCCTCAGATAAGTCGATACTAATCGTGGGCAGGACTAAAGGTTCCATTTCATGTACATGAACTTCTGGTAATTGTTGATATTGTTGCATTTATTAGTGAATTGCAGAAAATCAACATGGACTAACTGATTTAAATGTAAGTCCTAGGACTTGTCATAACCCACTATATATGTTAACTAATAACACTACGGATCCGTTCCCTCGACTATTAACGATTGTATTTTTCGGAATAATGTATTCTTTCAATGTTGACAAAAGATAGTCACGATACAAGGCCTAGGGCTTCTAAAACGAGTAAAAATAATCGTAATAATATTATTCATTTCCAGAAGTAAATATTTACAAGGTGTTACTTCGTTCATGATACTTAAACGGCTAAAAGATTGGGCCGGTAAAAGCGTTTATGAAAGTTCTCACGGTTAAATAATAAAATAATACAATCATTAAAAGGTAAATTAATGAACCATTTTTGGGGTTCCCACTTAGAGCTAAATAGTGATGTATCTTCAAGGGGGTTAAAAACTAGTATACAA